GAGGACAGGCTGGTCATCAGTTCGGTTACTAGAGCATTCACTGAGCTGAGACTACTGATGTAAGCTTACGCACAAGTCAAATTGAGTTCTTGCTCGTCCATATCCTTCACCTTCACAAAGTATTGTATTCGTTGACACAATGCAAACGGTTTTTGTTCTTTAGCTCTCCTTCTCGAAGCAAAACCAAAAAAACAAACATACTCCCTCATCTCTAAATATCTGTCATTTTCGCTCATGAGAAACAACTTTGACTAAATATATATTAAAAAATATTAATATTTATGATACATAATTAGTATCATTGATAGATATTTAAATCTAGTTTTTTAATAAATTTATTTAGAGATAGAAATGTCGCACGTATTTTCTATAAATCGAGTCAAAGTTATCGGCACGCAAATCATGGCGACTAACATTTAGGGAGGGAGGGTAGCATTCAAGAAGTAGGACTTCTGCGTTTACACTGAACTTCCTTGCTCTTGCTTGTTTATTCCATATTTTCTAGAAGCATTAATTAATTCGTCGTCACTCACAAAATACTCATCTTTTCCTCTGAAATTGATTGATTCATGGATGACCAGTTTCTTCAAGGAATGCCCGCACCCGGACGACAAGCAGCGCAAGGAGCTGAGCCGGGAGCTGGGGCTGGAGCCCCTCCAGGTCAAGTTCTGGTTCCAGAACAAGCGCACGCAAATGAAGGTGATGATCTTGACTAATCTCACTCTCTGATCTCTGCGTTTTGATCTTGAAATTTTGGGGCTGCGTTCAACTGCAAGGCAGGCGCGCGCGAGCGTCGTCACAACTACTTCATTTAAGCCTCTGACCTAGCGTCTGGCAGGCAGCATTCATGGCCTATTACTATAACTGGACAAAGCTTGGCCGCACACCCCCATGTCCTCTTCTGCATGCGCGCTGCCAAATGTGCTGCCGCAGCCCTGCCAGGCACCAGCGGCTGGCACCAGCCATGGTCAAACCCCACCCCATGCATCATGCATGTCTTCCTCCTCCTGCTGGCTGCTGCTGCTGACGCCACGCTACTCCTACCTGGCAAGGCAGACGTTTACAGCACTGCTCACCTGACTCACCAACAGCTGCCGATTACCAAGCATTGCTATTGCACTTAGTTAATCCGTGCAGTAGTAGAGACGCTCCATCATGGACCGCGAGCTTACCGTGATCCATGGCGTGTGGATCGACTTGCAGAACCAGCACGAGCGGCAGGAGAACTCGCAGCTGAGGGCGGATAACGAGAAGCTGCGTGCCGAGAACATGCGGTACAAGGAGGCCCTCAGCAGCGCGTCCTGCCCCAACTGCGGTGGACCTGCGGCGCTCGGCGAGATGTCCTTCGACGAGCACCACCTCCGCGTCGAGAACGCGCGGCTCCGGGAGGAGATCGACAGGATCTCCGCCATCGCCGCCAAGTACGTGGGCAAGCCCATGGTGTCCTTCCCCGTGCTGTCCAGCCCGCTCGCCGGGGCACGGCCGTTGCCGCTGGACATCGGTGGCGGCGTGGGGGGTGCCGCCGCATATGGCGCCACTGACATGTTCGGCAGTGTCGCTGCTGGTGCGGCTGGGGACCTGCTGAGGGGCGCCGTGCAGTCGGACGCCGACAAGCCTATGATCGTGGAGCTGGCCGTCACGGCCATGGAGGAGCTGGTTCGGATGGCGCAGCTGGACGAGCCGCTGTGGAATGCGCCGGGCCTTGATGGATCTGCTGAGACGCTGAACGAGGAGGAGTACGCGCGCATGTTCCCCGGCGGGCTCGGCCTAAAGCAATACGGGTTCAAGTCGGAGGCATCGCGCGACAGCTCCGTCGTCATCATGACCCATGCCAACCTCGTCGAGATCCTCATGGACGTGGTATGTACGTGTGATCGATGTGGAAAGAGTACAATCTTTTCCTTTCATAGTTCTTTGTGATAAAACTTCAGGATATTTGATCTGATTGCTGGCTCTGAACTCCTGAATTTTAATTCAATTTCTCTATGTGCAGAATCAGTATGCGACGGTGTTCTCGAGCATTGTGTCGAGAGCCGCGACGCTGGAGGTGCTATCTACTGGCGTGGCTGGGAACTACAATGGTGCATTGCAAGTGGTGCGTGTTCTGAAATTTGGGATGCATAGGTAGTTTGATGTCATCTGTTTATTGCTGAAGCTAGATGTCCCATGTTGGGCATTTTGCAGATGTCAGTTGAGTTTCAGGTGCCTTCCCCACTGGTGCCGACCAGGGAAAGCTATTTCGTGAGATACTGCAAGCAGAACGCTGATGGATCATGGGCCGTCGTCGACGTCTCGCTGGACAGTCTGCGCCCCAGCTCAGTCCTCAAGTGCCGGCGCCGGCCGTCAGGATGTCTGATCCAGGAAATGCCCAATGGCTACTCAAAGGTCTGTGGTCTGTACATGATTGATTTTTCCAGTTTTCATATATTCTCAGTAGCTGATGGTTCAGAGACTAATCGTGAGATGTGTACTGTATTTTATCTAAAAAAAAGCTGATATTTGTAGTACATTGCACTGTGTGTCAGGTGACCTGGGTGGAGCACGTCGAGGTGGACGACAGGTCGGTGCACAGCATCTACAAACTGCTGGTGAACTCTGGGCTCGCCTTCGGTGCACGCCGGTGGGTTGGAACGCTGGATCGCCAGTGCGAACGCCTTGCTAGTGTCATGGCCAGCAACATTCCAACCAGTGACATCGGTGGTAAAGCTCTATATAATCTGTACCATGCATCGCAGCACACCATATACTCTCTGTCCAATGGAATCCCCCGAAAAAGTTCATATCCTTGTGAAACAAATCATTTGCTGCAGTGATCACTAGCACGGAGGGGAGGAAGAGCATGCTGAAGCTGGCTGAGAGGATGGTGATGAGCTTCTGCGGTGGCGTGACGGCCTCAGCTGCGCACCAGTGGACAACACTGTCCGGCAGTGGTGCTGAGGACGTCCGTGTCATGACAAGGAAGAGTGTCGATGACCCTGGCAGGCCGCCGGGCATAGTCCTCAATGCTGCCACCTCTTTCTGGCTCCCCGGCCCGCCCAAGCGTGTCTTCGACTTCCTTCGTGATGAAAGCTCTCGCAGCGAGGCACGCACACACCCATACCTAACAATTTCGTTCATCATGAATACATTCGAGAACACATTCTGTGAACTGCATTTCTTTTGCTTTTTTTGCAGTGGGACATCCTCTCCAATGGCGGCGTCGTTCAAGAAATGGCTCACATCGCTAATGGCCGCGATCATGGCAACTGCGTCTCGCTTCTTCGTGTCAATGTAAGCATGATGAGTTTGGCTTTGTCATTCATCGATGCATGTGATAACGCTTGCCTTCTAACATGTTGACGGTGTTTGCTTCTGCGTCATCGTCACAGAGCACCAACTCGAACCAAAGCAACATGCTGATCCTGCAAGAGAGCTGCACTGACGCCTCAGGCTCCTATGTCATCTATGCCCCGGTGGACGTGGTGGCCATGAACGTGGTCCTCAACGGCGGCGACCCTGACTACGTGGCGCTCCTGCCCTCTGGCTTCGCCATCCTGCCCGACGGCCCATCAGGCAGCAACATGCAAGGTGATGGCGGCGTCGGCTCAGGCGGGTCGCTCCTGACGGTGGCGTTCCAGATACTGGTCGACTCCATCCCCACTGCCAAGCTCTCCCTGGGTTCCGTGGCGACGGTGAACAGCCTCATCGCCTGCACCGTGGAGCGCATCAAGGCGGCGGTCTCCGGCGAGAGCAATCCCCAGCAGTAGCTTCGTTGAATCAAACAGTGTTCTTATCCTTTGCATTGAAGGTATGCATAAAACCAAATCACATTAAGGTCATAATTTGCAAGATTTCATCCTATTGTTTAGTCTGAATACTGATGAAATCTGATCATCAATGCCTTTGCAGGAGCAGCAAATTTTAGAGCTTTCATCAGTGGGAAGTCAAGAACGCACCTCAGACTCTCCTTGCCATGTGGTGCTCATAGCTTGGGTTATTTTTCCGCCTAGTTTCCCAGAATTTCTGGGTATTATTCCAAGAAATATTTCAGTCGCCGAAGAAAATGGGTCACCACTACGCAAGGGTAGTTGGTTCGGGTATTGACTTCTTCATGTTGGCCTCTCGGATGCTGCTACCTCTGAATTTAGGCTTCTTTTTCTTCTCTTGTGGAGTATAAAACCGTTATTTAGCATGTAATTTGTGCTGTTGCTGCAGCTGTTCAGTATCCTGGATTCCCCAAATAGAGATTTGCTTACCTTAGGTTTTATACTTCTGCAGTGCTTCTTATGTCTAGCTACCATTTCAGTACCAAACGTGCCTGTGTAACGTGGTTCCATACTTGCATTGTTGTTGAATGTCTTCTTTGCTATTTTGCAGCTTTAAGTTCTCAATTAATTTAGTTATAGTGATATGGCCATGGAATGCCACTCTCAATAATCGGCCTGTTCGCTGGTTAATTTCTGGACTGATAAGTTCGGCTGGTGCTGGTTTGTTGCGAGAGGAAAACACTGTTGGCTGGCTGATAAGCCCTGGCTGAAACCATGAAGCGAACAGACTGAATATTGCTGCTTTCGACCTTCTGTTTCTCGTCAGAATAAGCTATGCATGCTGAGTAAGATGGCTGCATTCCTTGGCCATGCCATTTCAATGTCTGAGATTTCGTCAACAGGTATCACATCTGAGCAAGTATTTCATACAAAACAGCTCCTTAGGACGCACTTACAAAGTCAGAGATGTACATTTATGACACTACTCCGATCCTCATCTCAGAAGATGCAATATCATTCATTCCATAACTCGAGTGCATCTGCGTGCCTCTGAAATAGTCAACCATGTGAAGTACAAGATTCTTACAGGCATTCTGCTAGAGAAACAAAATTGGATGTTCAGACCAGCTCTTTTTCTTGAAAAGGAACTTGGATCTTCAGCATGCTATGATCACAAAATAAGGTCGCTATGTATGCACATGGCATTGCCAGAGAAATCATGCCTGAACCGATGCACTCGTGAAGATATTTTCTTCATTCTGTTGGGAGGAGGTCGGTAAATGAAAAATCATGAAACGGTGGACCTGCAATACATGTTGAGGTTCAGGTGTAACTTTGGCATTTTCTCTATAAGATAATAATATTACGAAAAGCATACCATGAAAATATTTTACATAAGCAAACAGCAAATTTGTTTAGACAGTGTCTTCCCTTGATGCTATGACACTTTAGTTTTAGTACCTCAGTTAAATGCACAAGTTTCATATCTCTTAAAGAACATGAAAGGATGCTTATTCTACATTTATCTAAAGAAGTGCTTGCATAATTTTTACCTTTTTGCTCAGCTAAAAGGTAAAATGGAACGTGAGATACCATCTTTGTTCCTCCTTCACTCCAATTCACAATACCAGGACCATTTCCTTGGGCAGTGGACGGTCCCAATACAGATAAACAGATGGCTGGTTCATTCATGAGCCCTAAATAGTCACAGGCCCGTTGGTAGACTCTCCTGTCTGAGGTTGGGGAACGAGCGACCTGCAGGAATGAAGCAATTAAGATGCTCTGTGATGGGTGCACTGATCATTTATCTTACACAGCAAGGATCAAGAATCAGTACCTTACCCAATGACACGTGTGCTCTCGGAAGCAACTCACTATGGCATGTTGCTAGTTTTGCAATGGCAGTCACCACAAAGCAGAGAAGCCTGGCTTGGGATGACTTTCTAGATGATGCACCCATGGAATCAGATCCTGGCTCCTGGTTTAATACCACACGGCTTGACAACAAATATATGAAAGAAGTCAATTATGTGTAATGCAATGGAAATCCAGACAGAAGACATAGTAGACTAGGGCCTCACCTAGTTGCCAGGTTTTCATACAATAATAATTCCAAATTTTCAAATAGCTCACGAGCAACATCTTTGCGATCTATCCCTCCAGCTCCATGCTCACCAATGGCCCAGCACAAGTGCAATGCTAACTCTGTCTGCACTGGCCACAGTCCATCAGTAACTTTCAGTTGCAATGAGAAAGATAATTAGCCATTTAAGATAATCAGCAGAAGGATAAGAAGAGCAGGCGATGATATAGCAATTTCAGTGGCAATATGAACTCGAAAAAAAGGAGTACGAACTTGAAAGATATACTTGCCTTAGCAGGATTATCATGAGCTTCACCAAGTCTGTCAGTAATAGGTTTCTGCAAAATGGTTCAAAATGATCATGCAGAATTATTTATAAAATCCGATATATAAAGGAAACTTTCAAAGAACTTTTTCCTTGTCGCTGCAAAGTGCTACATGACAATGACATGGGCTTTTCGTTCAGAGTTTTGAAATAAATCACTAAATATTTACACACATTACCTTCAGTACTGCAATGATGTTAGGAGACCGCTGGAATGCAGCCAAAATGAAGTCTGAAAGCCTTTTCCTCACCTGCAACAATTTATAATATCATGAAACCTACAATATGCCATCGGAAGCTGAACTTACACAGGATATGTTAGGCAAATAACCAAGTCTATAGCCAGACAAGCCATATGGCATACCATCATTTGAGGTAAAGGTACTATGGTAAAAATTTAAGTTTGCCCTTCTTTCATTTTTTTCCATTCAATGTATTCTGACATAAAGTAGTATCGCTGCTCCATCGGTTAGTTATTCAAAGCATCGTCTAGGGTGGCTTTCAGAATTATTAAGCTTAGTAAAAACTATAGCTCCAATAGTTCAACATATATGGTTGAATCCTTCAATTCAGCTTGAGAAGTTGTTTATCAATTGCTTATAAATTGTTGAACTATGCAATTAATCGGTTATGTCAGACTAAGCAAATAGAGATATAGTAATATATCCTTGGTTCCAAAACCTTTACAAGGATCAGTAGTAGACAAGGAAATTTAGAATAAATTAAGTTTGCCTACCTTGAAAGAGAAAACCTTGTCTGGGAACATCGCAGCATATCTTGACATAACTACTGGAATAAGAGCACACAACAGTGCTGAACCAACAAACATAGATCGTCAAATCAACAATATGTTGGTCACTTATCATGTGTAGCAAAAATAATAATAAAAAAGATATGCAACCTACAGTCATTAACATCCCGCAATGCCGTCGCGAAATACAAAGTAAGAAAGTGAGGTGCCATTTCCAGTGACTGTTTCAATCTATCCGACTGTGGGCTGTTAAATGCTGCTTGTAATGTTGAAGATATCGTAGGGGATATCCAATGTTTTGCCTGAAGGGGAAAACAGAAGAAGATATCACTAGAACTAAGAATTCAGAGGGGATATACACTATTGTATAGGAAACTACTTACAGCAATGCCATCATTCTCGTCTTTTAGAAGGTCTAAGAACATTGGGTCAGCAAGGTCTAGGGGACCACTATCATCAGAGCCTGAATTACCACTAGGTTCTTCTATTGCGGAACCAGTATATGCCTCGTCCATCAGTGCAAGAAGCATCTGTACCATAGAAAAGGATAATGCTCTTAACAGTTTTGGACTAGATAATTCACTCATAGCTTCTAGGCCAATTCATTCTGAAGATTACCTCAGGAGCAGCGCTCTTCTGGATTGTAGCTATACTACTGCCAATAAGAGTTCCAGAACTTCTTTCCACCTTTTCCAGTGCCACCACCAACACTGGGTAAAATTCAGAGTGATGAGGAACAAAGTTGTTGAAATCAATACATTATAGTTGAACAAAAACCAATAATGCATGGTTGAATGTTAAATACATTAAGACAAAAGACACTTATCTAAATCAAGCCATAAAATCTGGTAGTCTCCAATAAATATCAATCACAACTGATTCATATTATGTGCAGTATTGGAACTCAAAATGAAGAGTTCTTTACCAAAAGAATCTGAATAGTGTGCCAACTGTATACTCCATGTTAGTTTAAAAAAAAAACTGTATACTCCATGTTCACAAATAAAAAGTGAGTAACTGTATACAGGATAAACAATCAAGGCCAGCAGGGACCAGGTCATGTATGTATGCTATACATTACAGAAATCTCACATATTGTAAGAATGTAAGGAATGCACATCACATGAAAGCAGAAACAATAATTTAATAATGCCATAGTGCACCTAACTCATCAGCTAATTAGCAGTCAAAATTGTTTGGGTTATATAAAAATCCTGAAGGAGAAATATCAACAGGCTTACTTGGCAAACCCATAAGGGATAGGAAAAGAGGAAGAAAAGATCCTGCTGACATCATTAACGGAAGTACTTCCGCAAACTTATTCTCCAGTCTAGAATGTTAGCAAACAAATTAGGTAGTTCAACAGGATTGCTATTGAATATTTATGCTACCAGTACCAAGTCATTTAAAGGAAACATAGATGACAGATATAGGCTAAGTTCATGACAATAAGAGCACAAACCTCTCACCATTTGATGCAATAAGCTTTAACAACAATGGATAAAACTGTGTATAAACAAGAATACACAAGCATTGGCATGTGCTAACATGATTAAGTCGAATTTGGAAAATAGGAAGAGAAGAGAGAAATATTCTATAAAGAATCTTACAATAGTTGGTTGAGTAGCTTATCATAGAAATATGGTTTTTTCTGTTTTTTCTCTACCATTTGGCTTACGGCCTCCTGTATTGTAATTATTTCTTATGTTAATGAAGAAATACATGTAGGGGCCTCCCCGCCATTCTCATAAAAGATTAATACATATGCTATAAAACAAACAATGAAGCTGGATTTATATCTTTCAAAGCAGTGGTCTGCAACAACATGAATAATAGGAGCTACATGTGGAATTTGCCAGTTCCAAGTAAGTAAACATTTGAAGTGTTGGCACCTGTGGAATCAAATTGGGAAAGGAGCTAAGGATCTTTGTCTTGTTTGTTACAAGGAATTCAACCGTGCGCTCTGCAACAATAGGATCTGCAAACTCCCTATTTACAAGAAAAAAAGTTGAGTATCTTAGATGCTTGTGGTAGCAATCCAACGATGGTATACAGATCAAGAGAAAAACATAGAAAACAACATTACCTACTTAAGCAAGAGCGGAAGAAGGTTTTCAAGCTACCATCAGCATCGTGCAAGACCGCCTCCCCAAAATCCAGGAAGAATTTGCAGGATGGTCTGGTACGAAAAAATACAGAACACTAAATTAGTTATAAGTTTGGCAAACTCTTTACAACGAATCAACAATAAGTAATTTGCCACCAACAGCTATGCAAGTAATCCATTGTTTGGTGAATCAGGGAGTAAGGACATTATAATCATTCAGTTAACACTAGATTAAAGTCTCTCACCCAAAGACTAGACATACGGGCTTCGAGTGTGAAATTTTGATAAAACTGAAAATGGAGAAGCACACTTTACGCTAAAGGACACTATTGTCGGATATCCGAGCCTTTATATCCATCAAAACGTTAAGGATAACATCTCTGCAGCGCGAGACTGAGAAAAAGTCGGCTTACTAGAAGCAGCACGCCGGTGGAGGCCACGGCCTGCGTCGGAGCGGCGGCGCATCGCTGAAATAGCTTGCCCATCACCGGGAACGCCCGCGCCACCATCTCGTCCTTCGCCTCCTTCGCCGTCCGGCACATCTCGCACACCCTTCTCACCTTCGCGCGGACAGAAAATGGTGCACGAAACAACACACCTAAGAATCCTCGTCTACATCCAAGAAACCGGACATAGGGGACAAGGGATCGAAGGGGCATGCGGTTACAGATTGGAGGAGGTTGGGGTCGGAGGCGGGGTCGGCGGCCGCAGCGGAGTCCCGTGAGGCCGCGGAGAGCGAGCGGAGGTGGAAGTCGTAGATGCCGTCGCCGGCGGCGAGCCCCGGCGAAGCCATGGCCGTCGCCGTCGTGTTGTGTCTTGTCGTTGGGGTTAGAGAAGAAGGCCTCCTTTCTCTGTGGACGGCCTATTAGGTGCGTCCGGCCCATGTACTAGACTTTTTTTCTTTCTTTTAACAAGCCTTTTTTGTTCCCGTCTCGCACACCCTCACCTCCACGCGCGTAGACAATAATGGCGCACGAAACAACAAACCTAAGAATGCTCGTGTACATCGGGAGATGTGTAGAAGGGATGGAAGGGAGATGCGGTTACGGATTTGAGGAAGTTGGGTTCGGCGGCTGCAGGCTGCAGCAGAGTCCCGTGAGGCCGCAGAGAGCGAGCGGAGGAGGGAACCGAAGCTGCCATCGCCGGCGAAGAGCTCCTGCGAAACCTTGGCCCACAAGACGACTTGGCGGTTTGGGTTTGAGAAGAGGGCCTCCTTTCTCCGTGGACGGCCGATTAGGTGCGTGCGCTGCTCCTTTTTTTTTCACTATTTGTCTTTTTGTTATCGTGGGAAGACCCTTTTATTTTCATTTATATGCACTTAATAAAGTTTCTAAAACAGTTGACAAAATATTTTGTTCGAAATTTTGTCAAAACTAACCCAGCAATTTTAATAGATATCGGACATGTGTAATTTGCTTGGATGATTTATTTCACCTGATGGTTAATTTTTAAAATGTACTGCAAGAGACAACATCGTTAAAACAGTTTTTTGCCTTCTTTTTGCCAAAATCATCACAAGGTACATAAACGGTGATCTTTCCATTTTCAGAACGATTGCCAAAATACACTCGGCACCATATCAGTGCACAACCATAAGTATTACTCCCTCCATCCCTAAATAAATCAATTCATAGAATCCGTGCCAATCAATTTTTTTAAGTTTAACTAACTTTATAGAAAAAAATAACATCTATGAAATAAAATGAACACCTTATAAAAATATATTTTATGATAAATCTAATGATACTAATTTGATACCATAAATCTAGGAATTTGGTTAAATTTTAAAAAGTTTGACTTAAGACAACTCTAGGAATCTATTTATTCAGGGACAGAGGGATTACTAAAAATAACCCAGCTAATAACATTAGAGGTCTCAAGCGGCAGTAGATCGTTAGACGCTTAGATTAGACCCCTTCCCTCTACAGCATGCTCTGAGTTTTTGAGGATGGCGGATGGCCACAAGTACAACAATGCCCTCACTGAGTTTGTCTGAAGCTTCAACTTAGCTTCGTCCTACCATCCTTGCGTTGGCAAGAACCTGACGAATGCTGCAAACCTTGCTCAACATCAAACCAAATGATGCAGTAGCGATTGATTCTGAATCAAACCAAATGATGTACAGTAGCGATTGATTCTGAAGATAACTGTAATCTTGGCAAGATTTGGGACATAATTCCTGCAAAAAAGATCAGCAAGGAAAAAAAAAGCTTGATCAATATTTCTCCCCAGAAAAAAAATACGGCATTTATAATGTCTACAGACATCACGAAAGGGCCTGAGAAAAAGTGTAACACCCACCTCATATGCAAGTTAGGATGAGTGCTTACAAGTGTGAGCACCATCGATTTCATGCAGCTATTCTATTGAACTAGTTGAGTGCATTGTGAAGGAGCACTTGGTTCACAGCTGCTTAAGACGGCACTGGCCGGACCTGCCAATCAACAGGCAGATCATAGAACGAGTAGGACTCAAGTAGGAATATCTGAAGTTGCTCTGGTGAATAGAGTAGTAGTTTCATATTGACTGCTGAAGTGCCAGAAATCTCCTTGAATCAACCAAATCTTTTTGCCAACACTGCTGCCATCCATGCTTGATCTGAAAACTATAAGAACATTAGGAAAACTTTCACCTTGGTTGTCTATATTATATTATTATTTGTAACTGAATTTCGAAGATTGGCAATAATGAAGCTCTTACTGTTGTCACTGGCAACAGTCAGGCAAGCTTGCACTTGCGTAGTTTAGCAGCATACAGCGTATGGTTTATCATAAAAAGAAATTGCACTCCTGTGACATGGAAAGCTTAACACGTAAAAACACAATTCACAGTACAAATAAGAATGACTAATGTTATCTGATTTTCAATAACGCTACCTTAGGTGTCTGAGAATGGCTATCTTAAAAAAATATATATATTCTTATTTTTTCTTTGATCAATCGTCCCAGAAGAAAGAAAGCAACAGAGTTGCAAAGGAAATTTCAATTACATTTTCAAAAGGTCAAGCAAAGTGTAAGGAATTAGGCTTTCTTATAACTTAATAATCAGATTTTAAATTACTTGTGCACAGGAGAGTTCCTGTCAGTTCAAAATCTTATTTATTGATAGCCCAATTAACGGAGTACAAGTTCAAATCATGTCCAAGATCAGAGGCACAATCAAATGTTTGGTACATCCTTGTGGTGTGCAAATGTGACATATCTCCTTTATAATATAAAAAACCATGTATTTTATTTATTTCACTAAGATAGCCAGATTTACTAAGGAAAAAAATTACACACAAGTACAAAATACTGAAGTGATGCATGCTATTATCATGGACATTTCAGAGTATTGAGTTGCATACACCGATCAGTTCAACCCAAAAGCTTAAACTGATGGAGAGAGGTGGGCAATTCACTTATATTCCAACACTCTCCCTCACGTGGAGGCTCCCTTAGGCCTCAGACATAGAATAGGAGCGAGCAGCAATTATTTTATTTTAATTGCGCTAACCAGGATTCGAACTCGAGACCTCTAGTTTTGATACCATATTGAGTTGCATGCACCGACCAGTTCAACCCAAAAGCTTAAGTGGATGGAGAGAGGTGGGCAATTTACTTATATTCCAACACTTCCCCTCACGTGGAGTTTCCCTTAGGCCTCAGACATGGAATAGGAGCGAGCATCAATTATTTTATTTTAATTGCGCTAACCAGGATTCGAACTCAAGACCTCTAGTTTTGATATCATATTGAGTTGCATGCACTGACCAGTTCAACCCAAAAGCTTAAGCTGATGGGGAGAGGTGGACAGTTCACTTATATTCCAACACAGAGCAGCTCAGCACTGACTGATATCTGCATCATTTGAGATGGCCTGACATGAAAACATTTATAATTTGATTGTGTCTCAACATCTGGAACTGGAACTGATCTAACATGATCTGAGAATGTCAAACACTGCACATTCTTGCCAGTACCTTACTCATTATAACTAGTGGCAGATATATCAATAAAAGAGATAAGTTTTCACCACTTCATCAAAGTAGACATTTCAGAGTAATCTATAAAAAAAGAAGGAACTAAAGTAAAATTTAGTATACTCAAGTGAGTTACCAGATTCGTTTTTTTTCATATGAAGGCCCCACAAGCTGAACTTATAGAAAGCGTACACTAGTTCCACAAGCTGCAGTTTGAGGTGGTTTTATTTTACTACAGGTAAATGCAGTGATAGCACGGCAGTAGGAACTCGGCTGCTGGTCAGGGTTTGTGCCCTGGCTTCCACAAAAAAGAAGCCCATCGCTGTGTAACTGTCTTCAGAGATACACGTGTTGCTGCGGCAGAAGGAAGAACCTTTGGCTTTTTCCATAAGATCAGTTCATTAAAACGGATGGAAGAACAATGATAAGTTCAACATCTTTCAGACAGTGCTCTTAAAATTTTACTTTGAAAATAAATATTTTCTATGTTGCATCTTTTCTAAAGCCTCAAACATGGGCACTCAACAATCTTAATTCTAAATGCCCAAAATTGTTCCAACATCACTATTTCTTTTTCGGGAAAATTAAAAAGTAGCAAATATAGTATAATTACCTTTGGCAAAGGATTTTCTAACAGCAAGAAGACATATTCAACTCCCTAGTGTGCAATGTGTTTTCTGAAAGATTCAACAAGGCTAGAAGGATGTACAGCTCAAAGACTTGATGATCCCTTGTGTGCTGCAGATTAAAATAAGCAGTGTTCATATCAAGGGGCACTTGTGGAACATGATATATATAAAACTGAATTAATGTTCACATGATTAGGAAATCAAAGACCAATTACCTTTCACTAGTATAACCTGATCTCAGAGTTGTTCTGTTATTACTAGTTAGGAGGTTCCAATGGAGATGATCTACATAAAGTAATGGCAGAATGAAGTATTTGAAGTTTGCACCTGTCACTATGTAATCAAAATAGGAAACCTGCAGATACTGAGAATACATGCGGGCATAAAGTTCATCAAACTGCAATAGTTACACTAAGTTGGAATACAACAAAGCAGACGGTAGATTATTGTGTCGGTAGAACAAATCAGTCCAGCATCGTGCAACAAAATTAGGAACATCAAAGTTCAGGACTAATAATATACTCTCAGAGTTATAAAAAAAAAGGATGCAAAAGGCAGGTAGTCTAAACAAAGTTGTATAGTCTGATAGGTACTATTCTTGCAAACTAGCAAAACGCATGCTTGTGCAGAACAAGTAAATAAATTGAGAATGAATATACTGTGGATGTAACTTATTTCTGTAGCAGTGCCCCCAAGACAACTTGAAATTAGTTGGAGCATGTTTTGTAAGCTGTGAGGCATTCTAAAACTGCTAAACTCACACTTCAGCATCATGTGAGTGAGAAAAAGTTTCTCTATTAATAGTTTTCTCAACTCTAACACAAAAAGTTTCAAACTACTTGGTTATTATAAACAAAAAGGCATTCAAATAACAAAAACAACAGGCAGTGGATCAACAAAATGTGGATCAAACTTATAAATATTGTATGGGACTAAAGGGTAGTTTTGTATAATGGACACTAACCAGTTTTATGTACAGGGCGTTAAACACACCCTGAGATGGTAATGCTTGATAACTCAAAATCGTGTATGGATATAGTGAGAATCCGGAGGTTAGAAGAATGTACAATTTGAACAAGAGCCCTGCACAGTAAGTGAAAACAAGCGGCTTATTCGGAAGGGAACCATGACTGTAGCCAAATATAAAAAAGAAGAATGACTGAATTTTATGAGTTTAACAAAAGCAAAGAAAATTGGTGGGTAGGAAGTTCCACCTCTTTGTTACCTTGGGGCTTGGGTTAGTCAGACTTGGACTATCGGAATGATTCCTATCAGCTTGCGGCACTGCCTTGTTAGCTCCTCGCTGTTGAGATAACTGACACCCATTTCTTGCAGCGAACTTGGAAGGTCACTCACCTTGGGCAGCGATCGAATGGCTCGGCAGTAAGAGATCACTAATTTTTGCAGTGAACTTGGGAGGCAGTCCTTGGGCAGCGACTGGATGGCTTTACAATGACTTATCTCCAACTCTTGCAGTGAACCTGGGAGGCCATCCTTGGGCAACGACCGGATTGCTGAACAAGAGTGGATGTTTAATCTCTTGAGGTTCCAGCAGGGAGGGACTGCAGCTTGTAGAAGTCCTGAAATCTGATCTCCTCGAGAGAGGTGAGGAGCTGAAGGGTCTCCTCTTGCTCCTTTGTGAAGCACTCCACCTCTTTATCCGTAACTTTCAATAGTGTGAGCAAGGAAGAGAGCAAGGTACATATAGGCGCGGCAAGTACTCCCGCGACGTCATCCGTGTAAAGCTCCAGCAGCTGTTTGGAGGTAGACTCGGAGGATGGGAACTCTTGTTCATGCGCAAGCAAGGGCTCGGGACCACCGAAGAAATTGGGGGTTTGATTGACGGTTAATTTGGTGAGATGGCCTTGGGCAAGGAGAGGCCGAAGTCCCTCACCTCTTAAATCCCCACATCCCCGTATGGATAAATCTGTGAGAGAGGTGAGATCTGGGAGAGACAACAGTGACAGTCCCTCGCCTCTTGAATCCCCACGTCCCCGTATGGATAAACCTCTGAGAGAGGTGAGGTTTGAGAGAGGCAACAGCGGCAGTCCCGAAAGGGAGAGGGATTCCAGGGAGGTTGGGAAGGAGGAACACGGAGAAGTGAAGGATAATGAACAGGAGGGGAGGAATATGGGGCAATCCTCTATCCATAAGTTTTGGGGAAAATTGGGTGCATATCATTGAAAGATTTCATCTTTTGCTACGTACCATTAAAAAGATCCATTCTTAGCTATGTAGCATCAAAATATCACTTCTTTTAGAAATTTACCATTTTCCGTTAAATCAGCTAACGCCGGCTGCTCACCGTGAAGGGCTGCGTTGATATATTATGGCCATCCAGTGGACGCGCTCGGCTTCCACAGTTCCACGGCTGCGTCAGGTCCTACCTCGACTACCTGGAGGCCGTCCCGTGGATCGGCGAGGAGGAACACAGCGTCGTCTCCTTGACCCGCCGTCTCCAGAGCAAGGACGACCGCTACGACGGAGTCGTCAGCCCGCTACTGAAGAGAAGAGGATCGCCTCCGACAGTCTGAAACCGCTGAGCGATGCTGTTCGTCGGAGTCGAGAGAGGGGAGATGCTCCCGTCGCCGTGATGCAGCCACACGTCGCCATGCCGGTGAAGAATGGGTTCAAGGAGTTCGCCGACGTCGGCGGTGAGTCGACGACAGCAGGACATCAAAACGTCACAGGCCACTGCATCGAGGTGTTCGATGCGGTCATGAGCAAGATGCCATATCCGGTGACCTACGAGTATGTGCCGTTCCCCAACAGCTCCGAGTCCTACGACAACCTCGTGTCGCTGTTGCCGGATCAGGTCAGTACGTACACACCAAGCATGACAGAGCACGTAGGGTGTGCATGTGTGCTGATCGAGAAGCTTTGTGCCAATGATGAGAAGCTTTGTGCCAATGATGACTGCAGAGCGCGGACATCGTCGTCGGCGATGTGATAATCACGGCGAGCAGCCGAGCAGGATGGGCAAGGTGGAAATTAGCATGCCGTTCACAGACTCGGGGTGGTCGATAATGGTGGTGGTGGTGCGCACGGAGACGAGCACGAGCATGTGGATCTTCCTGCAGCCGCTGACCACCAGTCTGTGGCTCGCCAGACTCGCCTTCTTCTGCTTCACTGGCTTCGTGGTGTGGCAACAGGGCAGTTTGACAAAGAACTGAACAATGTTGCAACAAGGCTAATGATACACAGCTCATAGCACTTTTGAATGAAGTAAGCAGTGTTCAGGTCAATCAACACTTGGGATGAAGCAAAGAGCAATTACCTTGCATTATAGTCTGATTGAATGCTGCTACATTATTTTGATTAACGAGTAGCTCACAGAGATTCTCTGGCTCTGCAAAACAAAGAGTATCATGACAGTGTCATGTAAGCTTATGTCTCTTATCTATTAAAAATTTAAATGCTTGCAGGTATTGAAGGACATTCTCCATTTATGTGCCCAGTATTGCAAAAAATCTTGTTGGCCAACATAAGGCCATTAATACTGAATAAGTTAAGAAAATTGATAAGCGCAGCTAAGAATCACATAATCACAACAAGTTAGTCCTATCTTGTACAAAAAATGAGAATAGCAGTGTTCAGAACTAATAGAGTTTCAGAGTAAAAAGGCTCAAGGGTTAGTATTTTCTGCAGCAGACCTCAAGGCAACTTAGAAGTAGTTGAACTGTTGAAGCATGTTTTACAAGCTTGAAAAGTGTAATTATAAGCTGCCAGTGAACTTGAGAATTCAAACGAACCTCTAAAAATAAATTTGACTGGATTAGTGGGTTGCTGGTTGCAGGGATATGAGTTACAACTCATTACATGAGAAAATTGAAAAAAAGGAGTCATACAGAAAATGCTGTTTGAAAATTTTAAATGGGTGTAACCAAAATCACGTGCAAAGTGCAATATTTTTAAAATGTCAAAAGGAAGACAGGGCCTTATCTTGTCTAGAAGCAGAGCCGATCATATTTTATCAGCCAAGAAACATTGAAAGATGAAATCATGTACTGTCGATTACAGTCTTTGACCAGAAAAAAAATCATACAGCGCAAGTATATAATTAAGACCTTCACCTAATCGAAAACCATGTCCGTGTCGTTGATAAGCACGGCATAAAAAAGAAGTAACGAAGGGAAAAGTGCATAAATAAGAAAAAAGGGGCATCAGATAAGCAACAAGTTGAAATTTTAAATAGTGTATGGAACAAAGTGTGGGGATGATTTACTAATTTTTTTTATACTAACCACTTTTATATACATGGTGTTAGTTACATCCTCAGATGTTCATGCTTGGCAATTCGGAGCCCTGCACAATAAGTGAAAAACAAGTGGGTTATTTGCAAGGAAACCATAATTGCAGTCAAATAAACAAGAGGAGAATGATTGAAATTTATGGGTTTAAAGAAAGCAAGGGAGATGGGTAGGAAGTTCCACCTCTTTGTTACCTTGGGTCGGTCAGGTGTAGACAACTGGAATGATTCCAATCAACTTGCGGCACTGCCTTCTTAGCTCCTCACTTTGTCTATACTGGACATCCAATTCTGGCAGTGAACTTGGAAGGTCATTCACCTTGGGCAGCGATCGAATGGCTGAGCATCCTCTGATCACTAATTTTTGCAGTGAACTTGGGAGGCAGTCCTTGGGTAGAGACCGGATGGCTAGACAAAGGATATAAACAAATCTTGCAGTGAATTTGGGAGACCATCCTTGGGCAGAGACCGAATGGCTCCACAATTGGAGATGTTTAATCTCTTGAGGTTGGGATGTCTGTGCAGCCCCGCAGGGAGGCACTGCAAGGAGCTGAAGGCCCCCCTCTTGCTCCTGTGTGAAGCGCTCCAGCTCTTTGTCCCCCCGAAATGTCAATTCAGTGAGCGAAGAAGAGAGCAAGGTACAGATATGCACAGTAAGGAATCCCGCGACGTCATCCGTCTCAAGCTCTAGCTCCTCCAGTTTGGAGGAAGAGGATGGGTACTCTTGTTCATAAGGAAGGCGGGGGCTCGGGACCAGCCAAGAAATTGGGGGTTCCGTAGATGATTAATTTGGTGAGACGACCTTGGGCGAGGAGATGCCGCAGTCCCTCGCCTCTTAAATCCCCACATCCCCAAATGGCTAAATCTGTGAGAGAGGTGAGGTTTGAGAGAGGCAACAACGTCGCCAGGCCCACCGCGCCTGGAAGAAAGAGGTGTTCCAGGGAAGCTGGGAAAGGGAAACAAGGAGAGGAGGAGGGTGACGAATATGAGGAGAGGAACCTGGGGCAAAACCTTATCAGCAACGATCGGAGGGAGCGCAGAGATTGGAGCCCTTGTTTTCCACCAGTTCTTCTTCCTGCTTCTCCGTTGTGGTCGATTGGACTGGCGCAGAGGCTCAGCTCTGGGCAGACTCGGATCCGCAACGTCTGTAGTTGGGAAGGCAAGAGCAGCAGCCCTTCTGCTGATGATGCGTTTACGTCCTCCTCTCCTCTTGTGCCTTCCTGCTGCTGGTGCTTCTCGATTGCTGCATTGCCATCCACTTTGTTATCTGAACATGCTAGCGCAGGTGTTTCTGTTGCCTGCTTTTCCGCTACGGCTAGCCCCGTAATCTTATCACACAACCACATGTTCAGTTCCGAGAGCTTGGGAAAATAAGTCAATAGCTGTGTCAATTCCTTCGCACTAGCCTCCAACCTATCAATGGTCATGCATTCAACTGGAAATTGATATCCGGCATTGCTCTCACCTTCGACCAACGGGAAGAGAATACTTGAACCACCATATAGCTCGAGGGTCTTTAGGGACGATAGCATTTGGAAGTGATGCAGCAGGAGAGGAGGGCATCTGTCCATGTACAACTCTTTTAGTTCAGTTAGATTATCAAAGACCAACACATCCCATAACTCACTAACAAGTGCATCCTTTATCATAATTTCCAAGCTATATCCAGATTGGTCATTCTCTTCACAAACAAGTTTCTGAAAGCCTGAACCAACTCCTATCTTAGCGGAGATTGGTGCCCTAGTCCATGGAACAGGAGGAAAGGACAACAGTTTTGGACAGTTTTCAATTTTGAGCTCCCGTAGTCTAGGAAACCAAATTATTTTTGCCTCTTTCTGTTGCTGACAGCAAATAGAATGGGAAAATGACAACTCCGTGAGTTCAAAGCAATGTGTGATGATGAGCACTTCTAGGTGAGAGAATAAATTACAAGGGTCACTTTCAGCCCATTTATTCAGTCTTGGCAGCTTATTGAATTCTAGCCTTCTCAAATTTCGAAACCTATTATGAGGTACACAACCCAAATGCTCCTCACCATGCTCATTGACCATCCACAGCTCTCCAATTGGTGGAAGATTTACCCAAGATACATTATCCAGATGAAGAGATTCAAGATTTTTAATAGAGAGGTCCTCACCTAGCCATTTTGGGGATTTAGTTCCTCCATGCCCCCGAATGCATATGCCTTGAAGATTGATATGTGGTTTCATAACCTCCAGAATATTTGCTTCGTGTGCTGGATCCTTGTTAAGTCTAGTGACATCCCATTCTAATGTTAGCTTGTGTAAACGATTTTTGTGTATCAGTTTTGCCTCACTTGCTTCCTTCATTGTTTGTGTCCTTTCCAGATTACCAATGGCAAGTGAACCTCCAAATTCTGATAGTTGCTCTAGTTGACTTAGTTCAAAGCCTTTACTTTCTTTTCCAACTTCAAAGCTTCTTAGTTCCTGTAATAATTTTAGTTACCCCACCTCAACTATGTTAGAGTGAAGCTGAACCCTGTCTTTTGGAACAAGAAAGTGACTCAATTTTACAAGGATGTTTATATCTCTTACGGAACCAGAGCAATGTTCCCACTCCTGTAGATCTATGACTTCTAAATGATAAAGTCTAGATAGAGAACTCAACAAGCATATGTCCTCCATGTACTTCGACTTGATCCTTAAGTACCAAAGATGGACAAGTTTTGAAAAGTTATTCAACACACATCCTCTACAATATATGATGCTTCAGACAGATAAATAGCGCGAAGGGCATTGGCATTTCTAAACAAATGACCAAAAATCATGGCAAAGCTTCCATGGTGGCTCCCAAAAAGCATCAATGTATGTAGGTTTTCAGTATTCAGTCTTTTGTCCAGTTCTCTTAGTTCCTTTTTGAAGTTTTCAAGATTCTCTTTGTTCTCAACTTCTTTGTCATCTATGATGATGGACAAGTGGCGGACTGAAGTTGGGATTTGTATGGACCTGACACTAGAACTAGGTATTGTAATGCATTCGTATGATGAAACTTTCACTGCTAAATCATGCAGTAGGTCATGTAGGACATAATAAGAAGTACCATCGTCTTTCTCATTCTTTATAAAAAATCCATTGTTAACCAAGTCAATCAGATAGCTCAGCCCAACATCTCCAGTTCTCTTGTTCTGACTGGATGAGTGTAAAATATCTAGTCCCATCCACAAGTGAATTAGCTCGTCACTACCAAATTCATATCTTCAGGAAACAAAGAACAATATGAAAAACATCGTTGTAGATCGAAAGGAAGATAATCATAGCTAAGTTTTAGAGCTGGCATAATGTCATTCTCATTGGTCTGTAGTTCCCATTCTTTGCTTTCTAGAACTCTTGTCCAATGGTCCAAAGTAAGTTGGTTTCTTAGTACTCTACCCACGGTTTTTGCTGCAAGAGGGAAACCCTTTAAATTGCTCACTATTTTCTCCCCAACATCACGCAGTTCACGATGTTCTTCCCATGCCTTCTGGTGACTGAACACACATGCTTCAAAGAAATCCATAAAATCTTTGTCTTCTAGACGATCCATTTTTATTGGACAATCAATTGTCTTAACCATATCTGCCACTTCTGGAATTCAAGTTGTCACTATGATCATATTACCCTTTTCTCCCCCTCTTCCAAATGGTCTTAGTAGTTTTTTCCACTCATCTTCGTGACATGTCCACATGTCATCTAGAACAAGTAAAAACCATTTGGCTTTCAATCTTTGTTCAATTCGCTCTTGATCACTACCATTTTTGTTTTCACCATCAACCTCAGGAATTATTTTCACTGCTTCTTGTGCCAACCTACTAGCATTAAAACTGAGGGAGACACATAACCAAATTGGGACCTCAAAATGACCCTTCACTTCATTATATATGTGTTGTGTGAAAGTTGTCTTCCCAATACCCCCAGGACCAACAATTGGAAGCACCACTAGGCCATCTGAAAAATATTCTCCATGCTTAATGTCATCTATAATAATCTTTTTCTGTTTATCCCTCCCATACAACTTAGGCTCTATAATGTCCGGAGTGGCCTTGGGACAGTCCATAGCACTGGTTTGGGTTGTGGTACGGTTGGAGCCTAATTGCTTGAGCTTAAGAATAGCAGAACCCAACAACTCCATATCAAGAATGGTGGAGACCTAGGCAGATACAGGCCTTAGCTTCTCTACAATGTCTTTCATCTTACGGGATATCTCCACCCTGTCAAACTTCAACTTTGGCATTTGCACAACAAGTTTTTCCTCTTGAATTTGAATCTTGGATGGACAAGTTTTTCCTCTTGAATTCGAATGGCTCGGCAGTAAGGGATCACTAATTTTTGCAGTGAACTTGGGAGGCAGTCCTTGGGCAGCAACTGGATGGCTTTACAATGACTTATCTCCAACTCTTGCAGTGAACCTAGGAGGCCATCCTTGGGCAACGACCGGATTGCTGAACAAGAGTGGATGTTTAATCTCTTGAGGTTCCAGCAGGGAGGGACTGCAGCTTGTAGAAGTCCTGAAATCTGATCTCCTCGAGAGAGGTGAGGAGCTGAAGGGTCTCCTCTTGCTCCTTTGTGAAGCACTCCACCTCTTTATCCGTAGCTTTCAATAGTGTGAGCGAGGAAGAGAGCAAGGTACATATAGGCGCCGCAAGTACTCCCGCGACGTCATCCGTGTAAGGCTCCAGCATCTGTTTGGAGGTAGACTCGGAGGATGGGAACTCTTGTTCATGCGCAAGCAAGGGCTTGGGACCACCGAAGAAATTGGGGGTTTTATTGACGGTTAATTTGGTGAGATGGCCTTAGGCAAGGAGAGGCCGAAGTCCCTCGCCTCTTAAATCCCCACATCCCCGTATGGATAAATCGGTGAGAGAGGTGAGATCTGGGAGAGACAACAGTGACAGTCCCTCGCCTCTTGAATCCCCACGTCCCCGTATGGATAAATCTCTGAGAGAGGTGAGGTTTGAGAGAGGCAACAGCGGCAGTCCCGAAAGGGAGAGGGATTCCAGAGAGGTTGGGAAGGAGGAACACGGAGAAGTGAAGGATAACGAACAGGAGGAGAGGAATCTGGGGCAATCCTCTATCCACAAGTTTTGGGGAAAATTGGGTGCATACCATTGAAAGATTTCATCTTTTGCTATGTACCATTAAAAAGATCCATTCTTAGCTATGTAGCATCAAAAGATCACTTCTTTTAGAAATTTACCATTTTCCGTTAAATCAGCTAACGCCGGCTGCTCACCGTGAAGGGCTGCGTTGATATATTATGGCCATCTAGTGGACGCGCTCGGCTTCCACAGTTCCACGGCTGCGTCAGGTCCTACCTCGACTACCTGGAGGCCGTCCCGTGGGTCGGCGAGGAGGAACACAGGGTCGTCTCCTTGATCCGCCGTCTCCAGAGCAAGGACGACCGCTACGACGGAGTCGTCAGCCTGCTGCTGAAGAGAAGAGGATCGCCTCCGACAGTCTGAAACCGCCGAGCGATGCTGTTCGTCGGAGTCGGGAGAAGGGAGATGCTCCCGTCGCCGCGATGCAGCCATGCGTCGCCATGCCGGTGAAGAATGGGTTCAAGGAGTTCGTCGACGTCGGCGGTGAGTCGACGACAGCAGGACATCAAAACGTCATAGGCTACTGCATCGAGGTGTTCGATGCGGTCATGAGCAAGATGCCATATCCGGTGAGCTACGAGTACACGCCGTTCCCCAACAGCTCCGAGTCCTACGACAACCTCGTGTCGCTGTTGCCGGATCAGGTCAGTACGTACACACCAAGCATGACAGAGCACGTAGGGTGTGCATGTGTGCTGATCGAGAAGCTTTGTGCCAATGATGAGAAGCTTTGTGCCAATGATCGGCCTAGGATGCGGCGTGAAGAAAAATTTTGTAGTTGTGATTTTTGGATGCTGACGGCGAGGCGAGTTGCTGCTGCCAGCTGTAACAACCCAAAAATCCATACACCAAAAATCACAACTACAAAATTTTTCTTAAAAATCCCATGTGATGATGAGTGTCATGTATAGAGACCCAACCTAAGAGTTACATTAGAAGTAACCCAACCCAAGTCAACACATAAGCATGGCATGTCATTTGTTGATTATGCTATTTAATTTCTAACAAACAAAGTATTGCATACATTGTCAAAATCAAAATGTGATTTGGATTTCCATTTGAGTTATGATATGCTTAACAACTCCAATAAAATAATAAACCATGAAATAATTAAAATTCAAACAAAGGAATAAAGAGAAAAACTAATTCTACATTTGTATAATGAAAACCACACCTAGTTTTGTTATATAAAATAGCTAAATAAATTCTTAGTATTTATATAAGTATGTTGTGGGCCTCATATCAAAACTCCAATGAATTTGGTGCACCAATTTGGAATCCAAATTTAAAAATCAAAATTGAATTCAAATAAAGAAGAAGAAAAATAAAACAGAAAAAGAAAAAGGGAAGAAGAAGGCCTTGCAGGTTTGGCCTGCTCGGCCTGCGCCAACCAGCCCAACTGACCGGCCCAGCCTTTCACATCTCCTCTCCGCTGGCCCACGCGCGCGCAGTAGCAGGCCGGCCCCAACTTGCGCGCAACAGCCTAGCTCGTGGCCCAGCGCGTCGCCCACGCCCGCACGCCCTGCTGCCTTCGCCAGCTGCCGCTGCCACTTGGCCCCACGCGTCAGCCGCACGTCGCCCACGCCCACGCGTTTCCCCATTTCACTTGCAGCCGCTGCCGCTGGACCCCACCCGTCAGCCTTTCCTGTTTATCTTCTCCGCGCCACGCCTCAACCACCGCACGACCAAACGCCGACAGCAATGGCAGGGGCGGGCCAGGGGATCACGCCTGGGGCATGGCCCTGTCTCCCCTTGCGCCGCGCCCACGCAACCACGCGCGCGCCGTTGGATGCAAGCGTGCACCTCCGATCGCCCCTCGACCTCCATCCGCCGATCACCGAGCTCCATGGCCGAGCTCGGCTATAAAAACCCTAGCCCCGGAGCTCTAGCGCTCGTCCCATCGCCTCGCCGCCACCGTGGTGGCCATCCACTGTGCACCTGAACCAAGAGAGAAGAGAGAGAAGGGGAAGAAAGGGGGGGGGAGAAAACGCCGAAGCCGCTGCGGGGAGGACGTCATCGGAGCCGAAGACGACGCCGTCGTTGTCATCACGGTCACGGGTCGGCACTACACGCCTTCCGGAGCTACACGGCCGCAACTCGTCACCGCACCGCTATCCCCTCTTCCACAACACCCACAGTGAGCCCCCTTCCAGTCTCTCTCTGCCCGCCACCGAACCTCACCTTGTTGGCCATGGCGCTCCACACCTGGAGCACGAAGGCTAGGGCCGTCTCCGACCGCTGGGAACACACGCACCCATGCACACGTCCGTGACCACACCGTGACCACCCCACCGGAGCCCCATAGCGCACCCACGTGCCTCGCCGTCGTCTTCATGATAGTCGTGACCGCCGGGATGTCCCTACCGGCCACCTGGGAACCCGTAGCCTCGCCTTGAGCCCTGGACGCCTTCGTCGTGCACCCACGGAACCACAGAAGCCCTCATCTGCCCAGCTTAGCCACTGGAGAACCTGCGTACGCGACCTCGCCACCGGCGAGCACTGCCGAGCCGCCAGCCGCCGTGGCCAACGCCTTGGAAGGCCCCGGCCACCACTTAGACCCCAGAAACGTGATCGCCATGGCCTGGGGAAGCTTTTCCCCTCCCCAATCGGACACCAGCACTGCCACGGAGGCTCACAGCGAGCTCGCCACTGGCAGGAGCACCGCCGTGGGAGAAACAGGGGAACACCCCCCTTGTCGGACACCCGCGAGTGCACCCGGTGCACAAGGACCGCGCCTGAGAGAAGGAGGGTGGACTCGGTCCACCGTAGTCCTGTCTGCAGTCCATGGACCAACGTCTCTTGGTCCACCGTAGACCGCAAGCCATAGACCACAGCCTAGTGGTGACCCACGACTACGACGTGGCAGCGCCACAGCTTGCCATGTGGCAGGCCCGCCCCGGCCCAGACCAGCCCAACCCGAAGCCCGCCGGAGCCCGTTTGAGACCCAGTCCGTGTTGACCGTTGACTGGTCAACGTTGATCGTTGACCTGGCCCCACATGTCAGTGGCACAGACACTCTGGACCCACATATCAGATGCTGACGTCATGCTGACGACATGCTGACGTCACGCGGGACCCACACGGCAGAAGCCAGCGCAGCCGGGGTGACGTCATGCGGACGTCAAGCTGACATCAGCTGCTGATGTCAGCAGCCCAGGCCCCACATGTCAGTGACCCTGACTGTTGACCGTTGACCGTTGACCGACGTTGACTTTGACCGGACCCACCTGTCAGTGACCCAATAGCCTCTGGCCCCACCTGTCGGAATGGATGACATCATGCTGACGTCAGCAAGCCACGTGGACCAACCACGGCGTGACACGTGTTAGCCCAGGATTAATTCAGCCTTTTCCATTTTCAGAAATAGATTTAATCTTCGGAAATTCATAACTAATTCATATAACCTCAGAAAAATACGAAACTAGGACCAAAATTCATCTAAAATCGAGCTCTACGCAATGAACCTAAGTTTGAGTGCATTTGGCTCTTTTGAATTTTCATTGCCTCTTTGTGCTATTCTATAGACGTCGCTAACGCGACTATAATGCGATCGTTTGTAGACTCGGAGGAGAACCGGATGGACGAGGATCGTGAGTACCGTGAGGACTACGGAGACGACTACACTGAAGGTGCCACATCCCACCCAATCTCGTAGCACCTATTACGCATGGCTAAAATAGAAATGCTAGTGCTTACTTTATTGTCATGATCACACTATGGTAGGACTTGCATGGTAGTATGCTTTCTTGATGGCCTTTACCTTGATGCAACCTTACCCCTACTCACCCTGCTGTTAGGCTAGTCACACGCTTGCTATTATACTTCATTGCTTATTACTTCTACTACGCTTGCACTACATTGATGCGTGGTGGAAACTGGTGTTATCTGGACCATAGGGAGAGTGCTGCGTGTGTGACTTGGGTGCGTGGAGGGTGAGGGTTGTGTCGACCAAGTTAGAGTATACGACGAGCCTGGGGCAAGTCTTGCCGTGGGGTGCTACCTGGGCACCCCTGGAATGGATACCTGTGGTGGG